GCGCCCCCGCCTATGGCTGCCGATGGAGCAGCAGCAACAGCAGCAGCAGGTCCGGCAGGTTTAGGTGTACATACACCACAAGGACGTTGGGCCACCCCTCTGGGGCCTGTGATGCTGCAGGCCCCTGCAGCAGCAGGGGCCCCTGAGGGGCCCCTACTGTCTCCCGCGGTCGTTCCTACTGCACCTCTTGCTGCTGCTGCTGCTCCAGCTGCTGCTGCTGCTGCTCCTGCTGCTGGGCATGTGTCGACTGTGCAGCCGATGGGGGGCGTTCTGTCGCCGCGTGTAGCAGCAGCAGCAGCAGCAGCAGCTCCAGCAGCATCTGGAGCAATGCCTGCTGATGTTGCTGCTGGAGGGGGGCCCCCGGGGGGCCCCCCACTTGGTCCTGGGGGCCCCCCGCGTCAGTGGGTGGCTGCTTCTAAAGCAGCACCTGCAGCACTGCCTCTGCTGCAGGCAGGAAGAGCTTTAGGTGTCTCCCCACAAGGGGGCCCCCACGCTGCAGCAGGGGTCCCCCCACAGCAGCAGCAGCAGCCGCAGCCGCAGCAACAGCAGCCGCAGCAGCACCAGAACACGACAGGCCTTGCAGAAGCCGCTGGGGGCTTGCGGGGTACGTGCGATGCTGGGATCGATCGATCCCCACACACCCCACACTGCTGGGATCGAACGATCCCAACAGTGTGGGGTTTTCGCTGGGGTGTCAGTGTCATTCTTCTTCTTTGTCTCACTGATTAATTGGCTTTTGTGAATTGTTTGGTGCTGCCTTTGCTGCTGCTGCTGCTGCTGTTGCTGTCTGTCTGTCTTCATGTTGCTGCGGTGGTTTGTGTGTCTCCTTGTGTCTCTCTCTTTGCATATGGATAAAGGGGCTGTCTCTCTGTCTCTTTTTCACGCGCTGTCTCCTTTTTTTTGTTTGTTGGCTCTCCTTTTTGTCTCCTTTGCCGTGTCCCTTATGCTGTCTCTCGTCTTTTTTTTGTGCACCTGTTTGCTGCTCTTCTGTCTCCTTTGTGTCTCCTCCAGCAACCCCGCAGGGCTTCTCTCTGTCTCTGTCTTACTGTTTGTCTCTGTCTCTTTGTCTCTTTGTCTGTCTCTGTCTGTCTTTCATTTTTTGCCTCTGTTTTATTTCTGTCTCCTCAACCTCTGTCTCTCTGTCTACTTGTCTACTCTCTCACTGTCTCCTTCTGTCTCCTTTTCTGTCTCCGTCTCTTTCCTTGTCTGTCTCCGTCTCTACCTTTCTTTCTCTGTTTTGTTTTTGCTTTTTTTACACTCGTTTGTCTCTGTCTTTGTCTTTATCCTTTGTGATTCGGTGCAGCAGCAGCAACAACAGCAGCAGCAGCAGCAGCAGCACCTGCAGCAGCAGCACCAGCAAATCGGCCGCAGGCGTCTCACCCTGCATGGGATGTCCCTCCAGCAGCTGCTGCTTTAGTTGGTGAGTTCTCAGGTGTATTTGCACCTCACAGCTTTGGGGTGTATGCGCAGCTGTTTGCTGCAGCTGTTGCTGCAGCTGCTGCTGTTCTTGCTGCAGCAGTAGCAACAGCAGCAGCAGCAGCAGCTGTTGCTACTGCTGCTGCTGCTTCATGGAAGCGAGTTGCTCTTTGTGTCTCTTTACTGCGGTGTACAGACGAAGTTGTAAAGGCCCCAACAATGCTGAACAAGTAATTCAAAACCTTTCTCTAAACCCTAAACCCTCAGATCTAAACCCTAAACCCTCAGCCCTATGCATGCATGCATGCATGCATGCATGCATGCATGCGTTTTGCTTTTATTTGTGTGATTTGCTGCAGCATATTGAATTCAACTTCAAGCAGAATGGCGGCGTGGACCCCGGAACAGAGACGGCAGGTCTTGTCTCTGCAGTCTGTACGTCTCAGTCTCCTTTCTTCTGTCTCCTTTTGTCTTTGTCTGTCTCCTCTTGTCTTCCTCTGTCTCCTTTTGTCTTTGTCTGTCTCCTTTTTGTCTTCTTCTGTCCCCTTTTGTCTTCTTCTGTCTCCTTTATTTAGTCTTATCTTGTCTGTTTCTGTCTGCTTTTTTTTCTCTCTTGTTTTTTTTGTTTTTTGTCTCCTTTCTGCTGTCTCCTTTTGTCTCCTTTTGTCTTTTTTATTTTTTCTGTTTTCTTTTGTTGTCTCCTTTTTGTCTTATTTTATCTTTTTCTTACGTGACTCTGCATGCGTCTCTTTTGCTGCTTCTGCATGTCTTCTGCTGCTGTTGCATCGCTGTTGCTGCTGCTGTATCTCTTTTGCTGCTGCTGCATGTCTTTTGCTGCTGCTGCATGCCTTCTGCTGCTGCTGCATGTCTTCTGCTGCTGCAGGCTTTGCTGCGGCGGGGCTACCGCGTTGCTATGTGACTGCCAGAGCCGATCTTCTGTATATAACAACAAAACAAATACAAATATATATATATATATTATATTATATATAATATATACTATACATAATATATATATATATACATAATATATATATATATATTCTCTAAATATGTATAATATGCATAAGACAAAGTGAGTATTATATAACTCCTTTATAATATACATAGAAGGTTTTATGTATATTATATATTTTGTTTATGTCTAATATACATAAGACATTCAATGTGTATTATCCTTCCCATATGCATATATATATATATACATATATATGTATATATATACATATATATATA